CCGTACGCTTGGTTGAAGTAGGTTGTAACGAACAATGTCACCAAAGACACTACAAAGAGTGTAATAATTAAATATATTCCAATTTTTCGGTGTTTGACGCAAACGTAAACCACAGTGGTCCCGATGACGATAAACTGTAGCAGACACGATACGTACCAGCCGGAAATGATACACTTTAACAGAAAACGAAAATCATTAGGCATATTATAATAATATAATACATATAGTATAATACACACAGTGCCGTGCTCAGTTTTTTTTTTAAATGGGTGTGGGGGAGGTGAATTTTCGACTTTTCTCAGACCTCGTTATAAATAGCAGAAAAATATAATAAATAGGTACTCCCGATTAGGGCATGATGCATTTTAAAAAGTCATTACGCCCCTACAACAATTATTGTTATGATTCTTTGAAAAAGATTTACTAACTGTGAAATCTGTTAAATCGTAGTTATCGCAATATATCCAATATTATATACTATTATCAATATTATCTAAATTTGCGAGACATGTTATGTATGCACAATATACCTACCATAATGTGACCATATATGTGGTATATACCTAGGTATACAGTAAACATTTTAAATATATAAAAAAACATTATTTTTCTATACTTACATAAATTTAAAAAAATGCGTTTTAAATGTCTATAATAGTATAATTAACTAAAACAAGCCAAAATATTTTGTAAATTATGTCAAGTCTATAGAATATGATAACAAATACTTAAATTAGTAATTAATTAATGAAACTTTCAGATATAATTGTTACTACGGTAGTATATGGTTATACATTGTAAAATTTAAAAAAAATCAAAATAGATTTTGTAGAAAACTGGTTTTGGGTTATTATCCCAGTTTTTCTATATTTTTTTAGGTATTTTAGTTTTTCCCATTTTTTTTGGTATATAGGTACCATGAATTTTTACCTAACGTTAAGTATCAACCATATTTGGATACCCTCAACACTCTCTCCTGAGTATTATCACCACTTTATAACCTATTTGCAGCTTTGATATTCACTTCTCAACGGTTAATAAATATAGTTCTTAAATCATCAAAATGTATATTTTTTCATTTTATACTTGGTTGTCGGCTGGTATAAAGTTGCTGACTGCCAATACATTAGCCCACCAATAGTTTTTGCATTTATCAGCTTCAGGCCATATCTGTGAAGCCCAAAACGGCCCGTTTTCCAAATGAGGAATGATGAAAGCTGTCACCATCATCATGATCACGTACGACGGCAGAACCCTTATTCCAGAACAATCGTCATCAATATCATTAGGCGTTTATAGCAGAATAAAACATAGTCCTACCCATGACGAAATAACATTTCGTCATGGTCCTACCTACCTATGTTATTATTAATAATATGGGTACATTTTATCTATAGAATATGCACAAAATTGTACTATTAAATAAATCATATAAATATGGGTCCATTAAAGATAGATTGTTATTCACCAATACACTATAATAAGCATGCAGTAGGTATACCTATAGACAAATTAAAAATTTAATACTAAATGTGGTTATTCACTATTCAGCCCGATTTCTTTGAGGAAGGAGATAAGGTTACCTATATAATATATTTAGCTTACACAATAGTATATACATCCAATGCAAATGTTAGAATAACGTACATGATCGAAAATATGTTAAATACATAGACCACTGATTAACCTTCCTATGACTGTGGCATTATTGGTTTAAATATAATGACCACGATTTATTATAGTAGGTATACATTAAAAATATAATAAGATTTATTATTTCTATACACCTACTAGAATAAATAATAATATGCATGGCTAAAACGGATCGATTAGGCGAACTCAACCTAGTGTAAAATATGTATTTATTCTTTTAAATTAAATAATAATAACAATTATTATTATTAGTTATCACACGGATCATAATAATTATTATGTAATATTATATCAATAAGATAAAGATACGAACTTCAAGTATTTGTACGCGATCACCATAAGTATATGATACCAACTGGTTCCGGGCTTATTGAATTGCTGAATCAACATGACGTATATTAAGTAACCAGCGATATAAAAAAACATATCTATCACATTCAAGACCGTCAATAAGAAATCCGACCCATCCTCGTAAATCTTTAATAAAACGAAAACAAACGCAAGAAAATAAAACCATTCACAAATTAAGAGGACCCTCTACAAATATATTTGCTGTCTCCGTCTCACAAGTGCGCAATACAGCAAATGTACGATCAACAGATCAGGTTTAACTACGTTAGTTTAAAAATTTGAGTGAATCGACCTATTATGAAATTTGATGGTACCTACCTAAGAAAATTATCTGTGTTTTTACATGGGGTTCTTACGACAACTAGAGTTTTTAAGTTAGTTATGAAGTATGAGCATCTTTAATATAGGTAGGTACGTTACATTATATTATATGTATAAGCATAACTTACTAAAAAACTGCAGTATCGTAAAAAACCCACATACAATATTATACAAACACAGAGTATCGTCGCCTGGCGTGAAAAACCTCCTATGTGCAAAAAATCGCAAAATGACATTTTTACATTTCTGAATTCAGAAAAAAATACGCTATCTAGTGATAAATATTTCAAACTTATTGGTGTTATCAAAACATTTTTATTCTTCAAAACAATGAACCTCCTATGTTAGCTGTATTGAAATTGTTATCTGATATACCTCCCATGTGCATACAGCGGAGGTTTGTCACACTGTTGATTTTACGAATTTCGCACATCGGAGCTATATCCACGAATTAAAATATACTTTATAATTAAATTACTTTAAAATATTTTAATTCGTGGCTATATCAGCTGGTGTTGAATAGGAGGGAAACTAATCTTTATTATCACATTCACTTTTGTCTTTTCATATTATTATTTTTCATTTTGAATTTTTTTGAAAAAAAAATCGGAATCTTCAACAATAACATAAGTGTAATTAAATTTAAAATTAAGCGAGGGGTAAATACCTGACAGAAGTTTTGTACACCATATTACTGATTTCAATGATTACCCATGATTTACTTCAAAGATTACCTATACCCATGGTTACCATCACCTTGTACATTGATTACCATTTACCCCCAAGGTGTTTACCCCTCGAAATTAAGCTTATTGTTATAATACAATTTTATAATACTAAAAATATTGAAACCTGATTATATAAATTATAAATACCTATTGGCTAATTTGGTCTTATCATAATATTCTGTTGGTGAAAATGGAAAGAAAGTTGACCTGAATGTATATTATAATAATCCTATGCCAATAACCACCATAAATAATTTTAACAATTTTGATAATTTATGATTTTATTATTACTGATAATATTAATACTTATGACAATATTGATGATGACACTGAACAAAATGGTAATGTAGATGATCCAATAAATGAAATTAATAGTAATGTGGACTGTGATGTTCTTAGTGAATGTGTGTCTGAAAATTCTATAAAAATTGGTAGAACAAATAAGGAAAAGGCTTCTATAAAAAGAGTTGCAGGAGACCCATATATTATATGGGTTCAAAAGTTAAGAATGGTAAATGCACACAGTCTTGTCCCAAGCCTGGAAGATTTTTGAAAGATTGTTGTGCTCATAATCACAAAAAAAAATAAATTAGATCGAAAAATAATTTTTAGAAAATTTTGTGCATTATTATTATAACTTATAATTTATAAGTTTTAAGTTTTTAACCAAAAAGTATGTAGTGTTATTAACTGTTATTTTTTATTTTATTTTATAATGTGGTTTTTCGAGAAACAGAAAAAGTTTGTTATTTTTATTCTTATTATTACATTTACTATTTATAATTAAAAATTGTAATTAATTATAAAATCTATTAAATAACCATGTATTCAATTTTTATTCATAACTATATTGTTAGTTTCCTGTATCTTTATTAGATATTACAGAACATTTAGCAAGGGTCAAATTTGGTCTAATATTTCTATAATTTATAGAATGCTATTAGTTATTGATGCATATAGGTAGGCATGTAGGTATGTTTCTTTTTAGATATTATAAAGCACAATTTTAAACTATTAGCTAACCTAACTGATAATATTATATTATAGATCTATGTAGTTAGATTAATTAAAAGGTTCATTATTATTTTACAATTTTAGCAGTACCTAGTTTATACTTTGTATAGTTGAAATAATATAGACATGAAATCTCTCATGTGTAAAGAAAAAAAATATACACAAATATTAACCTCCTATGTGTCAACAACAAACCTCCTACGTGGAGTTTCAGAATAAAGAATTATCATCAAAACCTCCTATGTGTAAAAATCTTAACAATATGCTTAATATCCCTTTTGGATAAAACAATAAAATAATAATAATAGTCCCATTTCATTTCTAAACATATTTTACACAATATAACTATTTTTTGAAATTTTCATATTCAATACTTATTTTTTAAACTACTAAAACGTTTCTCCTGAAAAACTTGGTTTTTTTACATAGGAGGTTTTTCACGCCAGGCGACGGTATGTGTTATTGAAGAATGGCGAATGCTATTAACATCAAGTTTCAAAATAGGTCGTTTCACTCTAATTTTCAAACTAACAGAGCTGTGTTGAGCGTAAATTTGTTATGTTACGCACTTGTAAGACTGCAGAGACAACAAATGGCCGTGTAGTGCGTCCTCTTAATATAAATAGTGTTTAGAAATAGGTCATGTAAATATCTTCGCAAGCCCTCGCATCATAGTATCATTATAATATTTGGATTACCTTTTCAAGGTAATAGTTGTTCGTGAGCGGATTTTTTACAAAACATATAAAATTATGGCAGTACAACACCAATAACATGGCAACAACTTTCAGCCCGTTGAAGATGTTCAATTCGTTGTTTTTGTTGTATTTCATTAGATCTCTGCAGTTGCGAATTAGCGAAAATGAGCTTAACATTTCTGGCATTTCACCTGTAAAATATAAACATTAATATTATATTGCATTGTTACCCCTATATGGCTATATTATATTATTAATTAGTAACCAATTAACACGACATATAAGTTTTTATTCATAAAAAGTATGTGCGAAATTCTTTGTAAATATATTTATTTTTTTCTTATAATATTTTCTATATTCTACAAACTTATAATTAATATAAATAATATTTGAAATAAATTATAAATAAATTATAATAATATGAAAATTCAAAATTAACTTATTGAATATTAAAAATAATATAAGTTGATTTTAAGTTAACGTATAGGTATGTATATACAAATGAGTTAAGTTAAAGTTAAGTTAATTAAAACAGCGAACTGGTAAGTTAAGTTAATAAGTTAAAAATAACTTAACTTTTAACTTATTAACTCGTTAATGTCCAGCCTTGAAAAATAATGTTATTATAATAGGTACCTTACGTTGACATGCCAAAGGGTGATGCTGGGGACCCAGCAGTCTCCCCGAAACTATAATAATTGAGCAGCCGTATATTTTAACAAAATAAATTGATTAAAAAAATGAAAATGGCTTAAATATACAAGGTTATTTCAATCATTTTATCACATTAAGGAATTAAAATGGCAAGGTTTGATTACGACGTATACTGGCTATACAGTATACTATGATATTACATGCATGATTTGGATCGTACCCTTAAGCTGCCATTTTATTTTTGTTTGATAACAATATGGGCTATGTGCAATAACCTTGTATATTTAAACCATGGAATGACCAAGACTTTTTAAGGATTTTTCTGGTTTTGTTAAAATTAAATAATTAATTACATATTATAAAACGTCTAATTGTTACTACTATTACCTATATGTATCTAGTTATTTAATATTTATAAATATAAATAAATAAATATTCTACTTACTATTTTTCCCTTTGGTATCCCGTATTATTATTATCAAATGGTACGCCGTCGATAAGCAGCAGACCAAGAATATGAATCCAACTAGTGAACTTTCAAGCAAATTCGAAAACAATATTATTACGCAATATTAACAATATTATATAGTCATACAAAGGTGTATACTGTATAATAAGTAATAACCAGTATACCTACTGGGTACTACAAATTAAATATAATATAAATATATAGTATAAGTAGATCTAAAAGTGTAAAATTTTTTTTTTAAATACTACCTATAATCAGGGAGTAAAAACGGTTTTAAAAAACCGGGTAACCTGAAAAAAATTGAAACCGTTTTCAGACCCGAAACCCATAACCCGAAATTTCTGAAATTTTTTTACTCCTTTACATAGGCTATATTAGAATTTTACTTATACTTATAATACTAAATACGGTTAGTAGGTAGTTATATTTATAAGGAACCTATAATATTATATTTTCGAGCTGTGAAAACTAAATTGTTTAAATACAAATTAAATTGCAATTTGTTGTGATTTTGTCAAAGTTTGAACTTTAAATGGGTGTAGAAAAATTATGATTTTATATCTTTAGTATTTTTAATTGGTTGGAATAAAACTTATAAGGAACTTTGTGTTAAATTTTCGAACTATTTGATCAAGTGAAAATTTTTTTAATGTTAAAGATATAATAAACTAGGTAATAAAAAAAATCGATAACGTTAATTCTGAAATCTCTATAATAATAGCTTAAATCTCTATAATAATAGCTTAAAATATTGAATAATTTTGAAAATTATACAGTGTAATATAGAAAAATAATATGAATATTTTATGAAATTTAACTTCACTTCAATGGTTATTGTATTTAATACTTTTAAACAATAATTGTTAGTAGTTTTCTGTATTTAAAGGTTTTATGCATATTTACTCTTATTTTGTTAGTACCTATAAATCAATAAAAAAAAAATAAAAAAAAATTGTTCTTATAGCTTCGAAAAAAATTAAACTCAGGATTTATGAACCCCTATATGATAATTTATATTTTGAATTATAATAGGTTATTTATCTAGATATTGTAATTATTTTTTGTGTAGATAGAACATTTAAATAATTTGTGTTATATTAACCTATACTCCGGCCCACGAGAGTCCATGCGTAAAAATGCGTTTGCGTTATTTTTAACCTAGACATTCATTACCTGGTCAAATAGTAGCCGGTATCGTACGGATAATCGTCCTTATCCGTCGAACACAATATTGATTCCACTTCGACTTGAGCTTTAACCTGGTGTGGTAGGAAATGTTTGTCGAATTCCTTTTGTAGCGTAACCTGGAGGTCGGCAGCAGTGCAAGAGTCCGGGATGCAAATGCCGAATTTCACGATATTCCTGTGCAGTTGTTTGTCATGATCTACGAACTGTGTAGATTATTTTACTATTAGAAATACGATACGAATTTAGGTAGGTATACGATAGGTTTTAGACCGAGAACCAGTAGTGATTGTGCTACAATACCTATTATAGTTTTTTTTTAATTATATTTTTTCATTTGCTTAAAAAAATACTCTTCGATTACTAGGTTATCATTGGGGTGTACATTGTTAAATTGTTTAAATCAAATAGGACTAAATTGGATTCCTTGAAGAATCTGACCATCATTTTATTTGTTTTTGCCTCTTTTATGAAGGCTAACTGAAGGTGTTCTAATATTAAATATAAGAAGTTCCGATCAGAGGTTAGACTCCGCCCGCAGCTACAAAGTGTATTATAATATTATATACTAGGTATCTATAATATTATATTATGATATACCTATTTCACTGACCATTGAATCTGTCGGATATGGTTCATATTAAGGGGATTGGAAACTGTGATTTTCTGTCTTTGTCTAACACACTGGAACACAGGAATGTGGACGGGTTTTCATTCCAACGTACCGATTGATCTAGTGAAGCGATAAGATTTCAATTTGTCGTCTTGTCTAAACTCTACATGAGATTGATTTTCGAACGTTTTTGATTTTATCCTCCTAAATTCTAAAAAAATGGTACTAAAAAGGGAAATGAAACATTAAAATTTTTTGTGAAAAAAAATCAAAAAATTAAAAATCTGGGAACCTAGATGTCAAGTAGACTTGACGACAAATTCAAATCTGTTTTTTAAATTCTTATCGTTTCACTTGATCAATCTGTACGTAGGAATGAAAACACATCTAAATTCATAATTTGTCCCACGTGTGTTACACAAAGACAGAAAATCACCGCTTCCAATCCGCTTAGGTGCCTATTTTTTCCCCTAGTCTATTTTTATAATACTTACAATTATTAAATTATAGAAAAAAAATTTTCAATACCGTTCATCGTTTTTCAAATGAATGTTTATTGTTTTTGAATGATGAATCATTCATAATAAAAACTGCACATATGTGCACAATATACAGGCGGTGATTGATTTAGCGTAAAACACTCATTATCTCAAAAAGTATTAATGTTTTTGAGATAATGAGTGTTTTACGCTAATTAATCACCTTGTATATTGCATATTAATAGTTACTAATTTACTTGTAGACAGCGTAATATGCGAGACAAAATAATTAAGTGTGCAGGTACGTCCTTATATTTTGATATTGTATGTACATTGTACATTGTATCTATACAGCTATATATAATAATCCAGGAGACTAAACTTTCTAAAAACAATTCATTTTTACCATTTTTTTATAGTATTTTTATAGTAGGTGCTTATAATTATCATTGCTATGTTTTTAAATTTTTTTTATATTTAAAAAAAATTAAATATGCCGAATCGATATGTAGATATTGTAAACTGCAGTAGCCAGTGGAATCTATATAAACCTTTTTGGCTTTTTCCATATCAGGTTTACTCTTGCCATCACCAGTCACGAGTCACAACAGTTATAATGTCGATATGAATATAATATGATATTATATTGTGATCATAATATTATTATAATATCGAGTACCTATTGCTATCGTACTCACCCCGAGTATCTCTCGCCAGGCGTTGTCGTTGCTTTCCGGTTGGTCGGGCTTGCCGACCCTAAAATCGACACCCTTCGACGATCCGAGTTTGACGGATGGCATACAGTATTTTCCCTGAACAGGTTTGTGCACTTTGACGCACTCATCGTACACACCCATGTGGTGTGAGGTGCCGACGAGTATGCCGTTCGGATACCGACTCCAAGAATCAGACACTGCATATTAATATATTGTTAAAAAATCATAATGATATTTAAAAATTAAAAAGAACACATAATATTAGGTTAGCGTAAACAGGTAAACTATAGGAGCTGTGCATATGGGTCTGGATATTCTGGCGACGGTCAGCAACGCTAATGTAAATAAACCCACACCTAACTTTTAGAACTTTTTTCGGGGAGGTAGACAGGTGATCTCATAATATGGGAGTTCCCAAAAAATTACCTCTGCCAGATCTGCGAAATAATTCAGGGCACGCCTATGTATTATAATATTATAATAGAAACCCTATTGCGTGTCTGAAATAGTATACTGCAGACACGAGAAATTTCGACAATTTATTCTTTAAGGGTGTCGGTGCCGGTCATTTATTAAGGAGTAAAATTTAGGCAATTAATTCACATGTTGTATCAACCTTGCGCGGAACGTGCATGTGTGTTTAGAATGTAAATTGATATTAGTGTGAGTGAGCTACAATTACACGCGCTGATACAGATATGTACTCACGCTCATGCACAAGTCAGTGATAGACTTCGATGACTATTATCGAAGCTCTATTTTGATGAACAAAAATGGTTTCACAGGAAAAACTCTCATGCCTCTTAGATGTCGGATTTTGGTCAATTTTTTTTTATCAGAAAGATAAGAAGTTTCTGCAGGTCGGATCAAAGCTCGAATTTTTATTTTACTTTAAATAGTAGTAGAAAATTACGTTTGAAAAAGGTCCAAATATTGTGCATTTTTCAAATGCATATTCCAGCTTCTATAATTATAATTTTCAAAATCGGGCTTTCATCTGACGTACAAAATGTTCTCTACTTTGAGATAAAAAAAATTAACTAAATCCGACAATTTTACAGGAAGTGAGAGTTCTCCTGTAAGACATGTTTTTGTACCAAAATACCCACCGGCCATACCCACATTACCATCTTATACAAACAGTACCTATATTAATTAATTTGCGTTAAACAGAACCAGTTAATAAATATTATTAAATTATTACATTCATTGCGTCAAATAATAAATTAGTTGGGATACATTAGATGCGTCACGAAATCGGAAATAATATATCGATTTTCGCAAGGAGCGTGAAACTAAATAATTATATATTTTTGTTCATTGTAAGGTTGCTATTGCCTATTGGTCATGATTAAATAATGAAAATAATTTTAGACCTGTAGCTTTATAGCAAATAGCTTAGTAAAAAAAGTATTCCCAAGGCTAATTTTTCGACACATGCACATCGTAACGTTAACTGTTAAGTAAACATTCGTAATTACGTACGCCCTTCGAGAGGTATGCAATCCACCGCAGATCTGCCTATCTGAAAACATTTAACATACTACGTGTCTCATATTATACATCGAATATTAATTAACAAAGTTTGAATCATAATATTTAAAGTTGGTACATATTTTCACGAGCAGCGAAGTGCTATAATATATTTACAATTAAGTTTTGCGTCCTTGAACTTATACGTATAAGTTATAATATTGCCAATGTATTTCACCTGAAGTAACTTTTGCCTGAGCAACTCCAGGTTGGACAGCTATAGGTATATATAAATGAACGTTCGTGTGTAGATTAGACCTCTGGAAAGAAGATAAATGTGTCTCGTAATAGTGAAAAACAAGCTTGGGCAAGTTAATGATAATTTTTAACTGAGTTAATAGAAAACATTTTAAAAAGTTTAAAGTTAACAGTTAACCTAATTTTTTGTTTAACTCAGTTAAGTTAAAAGTTATATGAGCATTTTAAATTAACTTATTAACTTTTTTTTTTCTTTTTCCGTTTGAACCGACAGCAAAGGAGGATCTGTGTGAACACTACTACTCCTCCCTACTACTCCTCAACTTATTAACTTAACTTAAGTTAAGTTATTTTTTTTTTTATAATACCTATATAAATACTCAGTAATATGGTTTAAAATAATAAAAATCATAAATATTATTGAACACAGGAAATAGCCAATAGTCTTTCTATACATAGGTACTGAATTAATAGAATTATGTAGTAGATACGAAAAGCTTTCAAAATTGATAATGCCGAAACAAATACAATCTTTTGATTTATTAATACAAATAAGTATTAAACATATAACACAGACCAAGTCTTCAGTTAGTGTTGACTGAATGTATCGAAAGAATTAAAAATTCTATAGTTTAATAATTTAGTTTAAAAAAATAAAAATAAACGTATTTCACTGGACATTGATCACATCATAGTTACACAAAAACTGAAACTCGGTATTGTAAATCTTGCGTGCTGAGAGAGCCTAGAACGAAAAGTAAACCCATGTGGGCTATGACTATTTTGTCTACTGACAATATTGATTGTTTATACATATACGCATTTGAAATATAAATATACATGAGCATAACCCAATTAGTTTTAATTTAAAAATAACTTATTCATGAAGAAAATATTTTACGATATGTTCTTGAGAATTGTACATTTTTGATTTGCATCTATATCATTAAAATTAAATAATATCATATTGCTTATTAGTTATTAGTATTTATTAATTATTATTATTACAATATGAACGTATGCTGCAGTATGGTATGGTATATCTTTATTCTACATATATACGATACACCTTTATGTTATAATATAATTGGCTATTGCTATATATATATGTGTATTTAATTGAGTTACTTTTCTTGAAGAATTCTGGTTTATGGAACAAGTAATTAATTTAACTATATTTGTAATTCCCTATTCTAGTAAATGGTTTTGTAATATCAATAATAATTTTTATTTTTCTTATATTTATTATTTATTTATTTATAAATTAACTTAACTTGAATTTGATTAAGGGCCGCTTTCACCACTACTTTAAACTTCGATTAAAGTTAAACCGGGGTTTAATCGGCCAAATTTGGCTGGTTAAATATTTGTTATCAGTCGATTAAGCGTAATTCGAAGTTTAAAGTATTTGAGGAAAGCGGCCCTAAAAGTAACTCGTTATTTATTAAGTTTATATCAGTTAAAATAAGTTAAGTTAATGAAAATTAAATTTCAAAGTTAAGTTAAAAGTTAGAATTAACTTAACTGTTTACTTAACTTTTATATTTTTAACTCGTTTATGCCCAGGCTAGGTGAAAAATATAGTTTATATTTTAACAAGTATTTTTGAATGTGCACACTTTATTCGGTTTTACTAAAATTGAAGGATTATTAATTAAAATTAAAAGAATTAAATCCAGTAAGTGAGCCCCTAATTTTCATGGGCCCTGGACAAATACCCATAATGTCCTTACAGCAGAGCGGCACCCCCTTGCCCACCTTTTATTACTTCAGAAACACGTGATTCTAAAATTGTGTTCGTATAGGTTAGGTTAAGCTATTGCTAGTACGTTAGCTGGTAATACTATACACGAGGATAATAATATTATGCACCTCTAGACTGGAAGTCAAATTTAACATCTGAACATGTTGTAACTATTATGTGGAACCATGTATACAAATATTAATTATTTTTCCCATAAACAAAAATTTAATAAAATCGAACATTTGTTTATTTAATTGAATAATTTATATTTTTTAATCTATTTATTAATTGTTAATTAATATTTTTTCCGTCCCTACAATAGCTACAACATTAAATATTATTAAAATGTCATTCTATAGGCTATACGTTTTTTTCATATGGCGGTGAAGGAAATTTAAATATTTATGATTTGGTGGAAAAGTGAATCGGCGGAAAAGGGAAAGGTTTTGACTGAAATGAGTAACTTACAAATTACATAGTATTATTATACATTGCCCGCTACACATTGGTCATTGTATAAAATATCCAGTTTTTATTTTTACTTAAAAGTTAAGTAGGTAGGTTATTGGTATAATATATTGTATTATTAAAATATTTTACTGACTCTGCACCGCCCACAGAGAATTGTTTTCCAAGTGTCTGGCGTACATTTGCGTCTGTTGGCGACACGCCGTGCTGCCCACGTCACTGGGCCCTCTGAAGTCGACCAGCGTCTCGTAGAAGATTTTCGAGATCCATGTCTTCGGCAATCCGCTGTCCGCCGACTCTTCGATATCGACGGACATGACCTCGAAGACATGTAGGAAGAAAATAACACCCGTACAAACTAACAATGATGTACAAGACATTATTGTTATTGATATAATATTATTACTATTACTAATATAATTATTATTGTAGTACAAATGATTGTATTTCGCTCATGCGTTGGTACCGATGCAAACACCGTTTCGTAAACTAATGGAGTAGATATTTTATTATTTATTATCATTTATTATTATATTTTATTTAACAGCGGCGATTGTAGATCAAGGTGAACTTCAGTAATGAGTGATCGGTATAATTATAGATACCTGTTTTATTATGTAACATAGACAAAACCTAATTACACAGAATTATATTTTTTATATTTTCGAGTAATCTTTGAGTTTACCGATTACAAAAAAAAAAAAAATGATTAACCATGATGTTTTTGGCCAAATTGAGTAAAAAAAACTACAGTCTTTAATAAATAATAATATACATTTAGTACAACCTAAGACTTATCCTAACCTATATAGTATTATATATTTACTTATCATAGTTATAATGTTTATATTGAAATATTAATAGTAATAAACGCTTTTATAAATTTGGTATACATTTTGGATATTCAAGGCGTTATGGATATTACTATTAATATTAATTGATAGTTTGTTTGGAATATTTTTAATGATTCTGTGAATTGCTCTTAATAAATATCTTCTATGGCTTTGCTTTAATTTGTTAAGAGTATATGCTACTAGTTAGAATTTTAGCGTTAAAAATCCAGGGGTTCACTAGTTAAAAAGATTATTTTATTTTAACTAGTTACTTTTTGCTTTTCATTAATTTAACTGTTTTAATAAATGTTAAATCAACGAATTAATTTTACATTTTAATAGAATTAAGTTTAATTTATTAATTTATTTTGTTTTTAATTTTATGATATTTCAGTCTATTTCGTTTTCATGACAAAAAGTTTTCTAAAGTTAATAATTTATATCATTCGAATCTAACTTACCTATATGGAAATACTGTATAAAGTATAAACAATAATTTAGTTTTGGGTGGTAAAAAATTAAGTACGCTAGCGTTGTATAAACAAATTAACTTATTTTAACTTAATAAAAACTTAACAAAAATTGAGCATTCATTTTTCACTTTTTGTTATTTTTACATATTAACTCTCTATGTCATTGATTTAAATAAAATCATTTAGGCAATATCTAATCTCGTCATCGCCACCCGAGATCTATGTGTTAGTCGTAAATGATTATTAATGTGTGTGGCCTCCAAGCGGGTCAATAAAATTGTAGAGGTACGGATGGCGTAA